AAGGCAGACTCTTAATGACTGAGCCACCCAGGCGCCCCGCGACAATGTTTTTTTAGATATGACACCAAAAGCACAAGCAAAAAAGAAAAAAGAGATAAACTGTACATCATCCAAATGTAGAACTTCTGTGCTTCAAAGGATGCAATCAAGAAAGTGAAAAGAGAACCCACAGAATGGGAGAAAATATTTGCAGATCATGAGGCTGTCGTATCCAGAATATATAAAGAACGCTTACAACTCAGGGGCGCCTGGGTAACTCAGTCAGTTAAGCTCAGGTCACAATCCCAGGGTCCTGGAATCATGCGCTGCATCGGGCTCCCTGCTCAGCAGGTAGCCTGCTTCTCCCTCTGCCCATCCCCCCCATTGGTGCGCGCTCTCTCTCTCAAATAAATAAATAAAATCTTTAAAAGAACTCTTACAACTCAACAACAAAAGGGCAAATAATCCAATTGAAAAATAGGCAAAGGATCTGAACAGTCCTTTTTCCAAAGAAGATATACAAACGGCCAAAAATCACATGAAAAGCTACTTAACATCACTAGCCGTCAGGCAAAGTCAAATCATAAACTACAACACGATAACACTTCCAACCCATTAGGATGGCTATAATAATACACATAGAAAATACGCATTGATGAGGATATGGACACACTGGAACCTCACACACGGCTGGAGGGAATGGAAAATGGTACAGCCTCTTTGGAAAACAGTCTGACAGTTCCCTGTGAAAAAGAAAACCACAAGGGGGCGCCCAGCTGGCTGGCTCAGTCTGTGGAGCACGTAATTCCCGATCTCGATCTCGGGGTTGTGAGTTTGAGCCATATGTCGGTTGTAGAGATTATTTAAAAAAAAATAAAATCTAGAAAAAAAGAAAAAGAAAAAGAAAAAGAAAACCAGGGGCCCCAAATGATGTCATTAAGGTTAGGCTGAGTCATGAAACCAGGGCTTAATAATGTTTTTTAAACATCCTTAAAAGAGGGGCTCAGTCGTTAAGCATCTGCCTTCGGCTCGGGTTGTGATCCCGGGGTCCTGGGATCAAGCCCCGCATCAGGCTCCCTGCTCCGCGGGAGGCCTGCTTCTCCCTCTCCCACTCCCCCTGCTTGTGTTCCCTCTCTCACTGTGTCTCTCTCTGTCAGATAAATCTTAAGAAAAAAAAAAAATCCTTAAAAAGATTAAACACAAAGTTACCCTATGACCCAGCAATTTCACTACGTAAGCATATACCCAAGAGAAGTAAAAACATATGTACCCACAAAAACTTGCACATGAATGTTCACAGTAGAAACAGACCAAACATCCATCAGTGAATGAATGAATAAAAGGTGGCATATCACACACTGGGACATTACGCGCAAAGGAACGAGGTCCTGACACCTGCTACAGCGTATAGGTAAGTCTTGAAGTCGTTCTGTTAAGTGAAAGAAGCTGGTCTTTCACATGCTCTATGATTCCATTTACAGGAAATGTCCAGAGTTGGCAAATCCACAGAGACAGGAGGTAGACGGCTGGTTGCCAGGGGCTGGGAGCTTCGGGGGAAATCAGGAATGACTCATTTCTTTGGGGGTGTCTTTTTAGGGTGATGAGAGTATTCTAAAACTGATTATGGCATTGGTTACACGACTCTGCAGATACACTAAAAACACTGAATTATACATGTAAATGGGCTAATTATACGGTATGTGGACTATCTCTCCATAAAGCTATTTTTAAGAAAATGTTGAGCTCCTCATTAAACTCTTATCTTTCTCCCTCAGGATAAAGAGCCGATTTCCTAACAGTGGAGAAGCCTCACATTACAGGGCCCTTGGTGACCTCTTCGACCTCACCTCTCCCTGTGCCCCTGACTCCCACACACTCTGTCCAGCCATGGGATTGTGCCCACATGACGCAAAGGCCCCGAGTCCCGTGCTTTACATACACTGCCTCGTCCCATCCTCACAGCAGCCCTGGGAGGTCGGGAACAACACTGCCATTTTGCAGATGAGGAAGCTGAGGTACAGAGCAGCAAAGTGACTCTCCCAGGTCACAGTGTGTCCCCTTCCTCAATCACAGCAGTGGTCACACCATCTTGTAATCACTGCTCGCCCACCCCATCACCAGACTGCCACAGGATGAGGGCTGTGTTTGGGGCATGTCAGCCCTCCCACCCCTCTGCTTCCTTTCTTCTTTTTTTTTTTTTTTTAAAGATTTTATTTATTTATTTGAGAGAGAGAGAGA